CAGTGAAATTGTGCAGTGTCCATTCTCGGTAAAAATGCAATTAACTCATAGATTCACCATCATGTGCAGTGGTAGCTACTGGATGAGACGGTTTATGGGAAGTGTTATCCATGACCATCATTCTCCCTTATTTTCCTCCCTTTTCCAGACTGCTACAGTCCATCAGCTTTGTGGGAGATGCCATGAAGCTGACTGATGGGAGATGCAGGGAAAAGGAACATAAAAGGGAAAGCCAACTGCTTAAAGGGCCCACACAGTACATAAACTTGGAAATGCACCATGTGTAGTGGTGGCTACCAGCCTGGCTGTCTTTAAAGGAGGATTAGACAAATTCACAGAATAGGTCCATATCTAGCAGTCATCAGGGGCATGGCCAGTATCAGAGACCGTGTACACCAGATGCTCCTATTTATTTATTTAGCACACTTATATGCCGCCCCATTCGCCGGAGCCTTGGGGCGGCTTTTCCACTCGTGCCTTACTTGTGCGTTTCCCACAGGCAGGTGGTTGGTCACTGTGTGAACAGAATGCTGCACTAGATGGACCCTTGCACAGCTGCTCTTCTGTGAGTTGTTTGGCACAACCGCTGAATGCAACAAAACGCATACCAGTAGAGGTGTCCTGGGGCATTTGGAGCAGCCTTCCCCAGCATTCCACCTGCCTTTGTTGGTGCCCTCCTTCACTCCCAGCCAGCACACCCAGAGCCACTTTGGAAGCCTGGGGCAGAGGGTCAAATTGACTGCAAGGCGAGTTCAGCACAAGTGGGATCATCTAAACAGAGTGTTTCTCAGCTGCCCTGCTGGTTCCGACGTTCAACACAAACAACACCTAAAGCACAAGGGTACAACCTACAGGAAGGAAAGTAAGGATATTCTGGCCTTCAGCATGCTCAGGACCCGTACCTTGGTTCACTTTGCTTTGCAGATTGGCAAATTTTGCTGCCCTGCCACTAGCATCCAGGAGGAAGCTCAAAAAGATTTTCAATTAAACCTCAAGAACCCCAGTTGCAGCTGCGAACCAGTGAAGCCAGGCTTCTATGATTAAAAAATCAGAAAAATGGGTTGCCTCTCCAGCACATAGCAGACTGCAAATTATGAACTTGGCTTGTATTACTTTCACCATGGGAGGTGGGGGGTGAGTCCTGGGATCACACTCTGGCCTGCCGCCTGCCCCTGGGCTGTCTTGCTTACCGCAAAGCCAGTCAAAGCAACTGGGAGCCTCAGAGGCACAGTTCTTGGAACCCTTACTATGCAAGAGAATCATGGAATCAAGGACGAACATTCCCTTCACAGGACAATGGATAGCTGAATTCCCAGGGGAACTATCTCAGGGTTGGTTTTGTATACTAGGGATGAAGAATATATACTGTTCCAGATGTTGTAGGACTGATGGCCAGCAAAGCCAGTGACAGGGGCTGGTGGAAGGTGCAATCCAACAGCTCCTGGAGGGTCACACATCCCCCATCTCCACCTCCCACCTTCAGATAGCTTGGTCCTCTACACCATCAGCAAAATGGGAGACAGAATTCGGCACACACAAAGGACAGAGCGGCTGCCCCCATGGCTCTCAGGCAGCACAAGCATGACACAAATCATGGACGGGAGGCATTTCAAGTCCTACTAATGGCCTTCCCCGACTGCGAAGGGTATTTCATTAACAGTATTACACACTGAGACAAACTTCCTTCCCTCTGCTATTACATAGAACATAGAAACATAGAAAACAGAGCAAGTCAGAAGGGGTCTCCCAGGCCATCTAGTCTGACCTCCGGCACCAGCCGGCTCCACTCACAACATGCCCACCATGTGGACGTCCAGCCTATCCTTGAACACCCGCACCGATGGGGCCTCAACGACCTCCTGGGGAAGCCCATTCCACACCCTCGGGGTCCTGACTGTCAGGAAGTGCTTTTTGGCATCCAAATGGAACCTTGGCTCCCTGAGCTTTGCTCCATTGGAGCGCGTTCTGCCTTCATCTGCAGGGGAGAACAGGTCTCTACCCATCTCCATGTGACATCCCCTCACATACCTGTATGTCACCAATAGATCCCCTCGGAGTCTCCTCCAGGCTGAAGAGATCCAGTTCCCTCAGTCTCGCCTCATACCCCATCCCCTGCTAACCAGCCACCAACCTTGTGGCCCTATGCTGCGCTGACTCTAACCTGACTATATCCTTTATGTAATGAGGGGCCCAAAACTGAACACAATACTCCAGTTGCAGGCGCTCTAGAGTCATGTAGAGTGGTAGTAATACCTCTCTTGATCTAGAAGCCACACTTCTGGCTATGAAAGCAAGGGTGGCGTTTGCCCTCTTGACCACCGCGTCACACTGCTGACTCATGTTTAGCCTGCAGTCAACCAGTACCCCGAGGTCCCTTTCACAAGTGCTGCTCTCCAGCCACTTGTCACCTAACCTGTACTTATGACAGCTATTCCTATGCCCCTAAGTGCAAGGTCTTGCACTTGGGGCATAGGA